ATGTTTTGGTCTGATGTCTACTATGCCCTCCCGGCCTCCACGGCAGTGGCCCCCGGAGGGCCAGCGGAGCGTCACCCTCCTACGAATGGACTTTTCAAGACGGACGACTGAATCTTGTGAAGAAATAAATGGATAAGAGCATAATAAAAGAAAAGAGCCATGTATGAGCACTTTCATGATAGCTGACTTTTGATTGGATGCCGCTCTTTTCCGTAACCGGAAGTGTGTTTACTGATGTCGAGCTCGTTCCTGCCCCTTTTGCTAAGCGAGGCCTGCTTTGCTTGCGACTTACGTTAGTTCACAGTTGCTTTCCGACTCACATCTTCCCACATCTCCTCACATCTCCCAGACCTCCCCTCCGCCCATCTCCTGTCTCTCCAGCCATCTCTCCGTCTATCTCTCCGTCCGTCTCGGTCTGTCAAGCTCTCCGCAAGCATGGCCGAAGAGGAAGATTTCAACTCCTCAGATCTTGAGTTCGAGGCTCCACCATCACGCGGGAGTCACTACGGTCGCGAGAGCATCGAGTCCATGCTCGAAAGTGCTTTTGAAGACCGCGTCAGCTTCAAGAGGTTTACAAAGCTTCTCACGGACGATGTCGGTGCGCCTGGCTCTCGAGCAAGCAAGTTCATAGTGTTCAATCGATTCAATGCCTTCCGTGCAGACACTTTGAAAAAAGAGTACGTGTGTTCACATGCTCCGGAGAGCTTGACACTGACCATAATGGACAGCGTCGATTCCGTTCCTACTGGCGATGACATTGTTCGATTCTTTGCCACCATCACCTCCCACATGACGTCTCGCATGGGTCACGTCCCGAGATACAGCACCCAAGTCCGATATCTCAAGCTGCTCGTCATCAAGCTCATCTTCGCGTACCCAACCTTCGGTCTATCTGCTCACGAACGACAACGTCTCTCGACCTGCTTGAAGGCACTCCTTCAGGAAGGGAAGCTCACAAACGATCCTCAGCGAGAAGCACAATGGGTTGGAATCTCGCTGGTAAGACGAATGACGAAGGCTATGATTGAGGAAGCCTTTACTTCCGGAACGCGGTCGTGGGATTGCACGATTGCCAAGACCTTAAGCCTCGTGCTTTTAGGTGTACTTGGCTGCCGTGGTGGAGATATCACACTCAGTCAAGGTTACGAGCATGTTCAGTGTCTCCGCTGGGAGCATATCTGCATCAAGGTCAAGAAAGGGACGCGGGAGCTCACAATGCGCATTATTCTTGCCTACGAAAAGGGTCACAAGTAAGCATCTTTGCACCATTTGCCAAGAGTACTTTTCAACTCACCATTCATAGGGACAAGCCGGCTGAAAACAACGCTGTTGACTTGGACCCTGTCCAATTGCTTGATTATGGAGTTATTTGCCCGGTCAGATGGCTTCTCATTCATGCTCTGAGGAATGATTGCGTGCTGGGCAACAGCTACGAGGATGTCGTGTCCTGCGCTTCGCGAAGATTCGACCAGACTGTGGAGTGGACAAACCCAGAGCTCCCCGTCCTCACGAGTATCAAGAAAGGGGGCGTTTTTCTTGATCTTTCAAAGCCCGCCCGCATGAATCAGCTTGGGAACACAGTCAAATATGCTGGTCTGGTTGCAGGGTTGCTTGTAAGCATTACCCCGCATGATCTTCGCCGAGGGTGCTTCCGGGATATGATGACTGCCTCAGTTGGGCTCAAAACCTCGTTGACCGACGTTGCTGATATCATGAATCATACACGGAATTCCTTACAAAGGGGTGTCACAGCAAAATACACCAATGGAGTTCAGGATGCATCAATTTTGGAGAAGCGCATTCAGGGTGCAGAAGATGATGTTGGAACATTCGATATCCTGGTCACAGATGTTCCTTACAAGAAACGCAAGATCACGGAAGAAGATCTCAAGGTTGAGTGTGAGACCAAAGGCTTGGACGTCACCAAACAGACCAATCGCAGTACAGCACGCAAACATATCCATCAACGTCATGTTCAGCAATGGAGGGAAACGCGAAGAAACGACACAATGGACACTGTCGATACTCATGCTCAAGACCAGGTGGCACCAAAAGTACTTTTGCGCTCAGGTTAGATTTTCCTTTCCAAAAACATCCATTTTCTATTTGCTAACATCTGCTCCTCACAGCACTGGCTCCCTTATCTTCGAATATGCAAGTCCAACCGCGGGGTGAGAAGCCGAAAGATGTTCAACCAGCTACACTTGTTCACCCAGATATGGATGATCAAGAGAGTATGATTGATCTGCTTCTGAGAACTAATTATGCAGAATTCACACAGAGCAAGATGAGTGTAGGTCTAATCATACTATATCCAACCGACACCCTGGACTAACTCTATAATAGTTGAAGCTCTTAACAACGTTGAGCAGAACCTCGTTACAGACCTTGAGGCAGCCTTAGCACAAAGTCAGGGGTTTGAGTGAATGAGAATATGCACGCCGCACTCTTCCCCATATCAGCTCATGCTGCTCAGGATGAAGACGCAGTTCCTTGGGAAATCGACACTGTCCAATTCGTCACCTTCTTCTCCCAAATTAACATTGTCCGCAACGCACGCATAGACAGAGTCTCCAAGGCTCGATGGTCTGAAAAAGCAGATGCAATGAAGATTGTTGCTACTGGAAATACTCGAGACCTGCCGACCCCATACCAGTATCCGTGCGACAACATGAAGCATGGCTGCCAATACAAAAGTCACAGCGCACAAGACACTCAAAAGCACTTTAGAAGCTGCAAGGTCACATCAGAAGAAGCAGCTGTCGAGAGGTACTCGGAGAAAGCAATCGCATGCACAGAAGTCGGCTGCAACAAGTCCTTTTCCACGGAAGAACAAAGAAGCAAGCACCATTGGAACTGTCACACATACACCCCTAAAGCATGCGATCTTCCAGGCTGTGATCCTAACGAATTCTTTGCAACGAAAACCGCATGGAAGAATCACGCCGCGAATGAACATTCGATGATCTTTCCCAAAGGCTACATCTGTCCAGTTCCCAGCTGCAAATCGACGACGCCGTTTAGCATCGGAATGAATTTCACACAGCATCTTGTCAAGACCCATGGCCTTGGAACTCCAAAAGCTCGAGAACCGTACGTACCGGTCTGGAGAGCACGTAGCTGTCCTGAAGTTGGCTGCTCGAAAACTATTCTCTATCGAAAGCTTGGAGGTCTTGTCAGACACTTGTGGCAAGATCACAAGATCACCATCGACATCTCAGATGACTCTAGAGTGGCTTGGGATTAGCTCTGGAACCGTACGTTCCAGTCTGGAGAGCCCGTGGTGTCCTGACGTTGGCTGTTGAAAAGTACTTTTCTGAGAGCTTTGATGAAACCAGATGGGGTTGGAATTGAGAAATATGTGCTTACAGTATGTTTGGACGGCGTCGTTGAGGGCTGGAGTTTTGAGCTTATCGCACGGGAATGATTATTGATATTGCTTTTGAGGAGTTATGATCACGAAACATATGTACCGAGCTTGCTTGCACATTGAGGGGTTGTAATCACCATATTTTTGTTACCATAGATACCAAGCTTGCTGTTGCACATTCAGGAGTCATTATGATAATGATTAGTATCATACTTATCAAGCTTACAATATGAAAGAGATTTCAGAACTCATGATAGTTGAATATGATGAACTAACCGTCTCTTTGATTCGCAATCAGGTCATAATCTTGTCTAGCCAGCTCCACTACCCTTCTTGATCTTACTTTCTATCAATTCGATGTTGTCTTCAGGAACAACCCCATACTTCTCCAAGATGAACTCCTCGATCTCTTCACTCACATCCCCCTGCACGACAATCTCCTCCCCCCCACTCGGCAACTTGGTCACACTGGCCCCCGTCGCGAACTTCTTCCCGAAATCCTTGGCCACCTTTTTATTCTCCAGGCCGAACGCCTCCAGCCCGCTCACAGCAGTAACGTACTTGCGCTTGTTACGCTCGACGCGCTTGATTATGACCTTGGAGGACGACAGCGTCTGTGCTTGTTTGAGCTCCGCGGCTTCGGCCTTCAGCGCTTTTTTGTGGGCGTCTTTCTCGGCGCGTTTGCGGGCGTCGAGGGAGAGGGTTGAGGTAGCTGCTGCTAGGGCGTCTGGGGTGGTAGTGTTAGGAAGTTTTCTTGGATTTGGGATTGGATTTGGAGGGAGCGTGAGAGAGGGGAGAGAAAGTGGAGGGGAAGATACCTTCAGACCATAAACGGTCGTACATTTCTTCATTTGTTTTCTGGAGCCATTCCTGGCATTTCTTGACTGTGCCGCCGAACTCGCAGTACTACTTCCTCTTCTCGTAAGTCTTGTATCCTAGCCGTGGTAGGGAATAGGAGTTTAGATGTACCTCTGGGGGTAATGAACAAACTGTTGAAGATGGATGTTAGCTGGTGGTATGGTGAGGGGAAGTGAGGTCGAGATAAGAAACGTACCTCCGCAATAGATTACATGTCTGGATTGGGGCTCTGCTGGCTCTTGGTGTTCTGTATCGGCCATTTCGTAGGATGGGCTAGACTTGTATGTGTTGTACCTGTGTCGTGATTTTTGGGTGGTTTCAAGGCGTGGAATGGCGGGGCAGGATTGGAGGTGAGGGGCAATCTGTGTTAAAGTGGCGTGTTTGTATCAATTGTGATACGTATACGAGCGAGTATTCCTTTCAACCATCAGAACCACTCCCTCTCCTCTATTGCTCTCCATACACCAGATACATAGAGATAGGTACTTCATACATGCCCTTCTAACAATCAATCATAGGTCCACAGACCCCCCCTTTAGCCCTAGTGAGGATATAATGGGTGGGAGGTAGCGTTTACCTATGATGAGGCAGGAGGTCAATAGATTATCTTCGTGATCTCCTTGCGTCGTTGTTTTCTTGATTGTATCGCACGTTTTAGATGAACTCTTCCACGATTCGCAATTTGCACTTGTAACTCATCGTTTCTCTGTATTGCCTGTTATTTCTCAGCCTGCACTCAACGCCTTCATTGACCACCTCAATCCGCATCCTCAAACCCCACCCTCAATCTTTTGATACACAACGCGTCAAAGCACTCTCACAATTCGCGCACAACGGTATGGTATCCGTCGAGGGCCCCCATCCTATCCTGGGTATACCCTTGAGCGAGCAGCCTGGCTTTGTGCAGATGAATGTCTGCAGGGCGGAAGGGCCGTCGGGCTCGACCTATGGCTTAAGTTTTGATGAGGAACAACCCATTTCGAGTGACGATTGGTTGGCGGGTGTGATGTTTGAGGAGGTACTGAAGCAAGAAGATTGGCGTGTGTGAGGGTGAGGTTGTGTTAGGGGGATATATAAGCCTGCTAGATTGCGTCTGTTTTTTGTTTCCAGGGAAAGAGTTTATGTTTATTTGCTTTCTCGTGGGCGTTGTCGCTGTCTTGCCGTGATTTGAGTGCCTACGAGTGCAAGGCAATCCAAAGCGGTCACATACAAACTTGTGGGTCACCTTGGACCATGATTTTGAACTTTTAATACTTTTGAAATCGAATTTGAACTGGCTTTAACATTCGGGTGCTCTAGTAAATCTCTATGAAGCTACAATGCACGCCCACTACACTCCCATCCTTCCTTACAAAATTATTGGCTTCAGCTGCATCTTTTCCCCACATTCTTTGCATTTCGGTTCTAGTTTCATGGCATTCTGCGTCTTCTTTTCTTTCTTGTGATCTTTGCAGAAGAATTCTTCTTTGATTGAAGGTACCGTATGGCCACATCCAGACCCACCAAGCTACCAGAGCACGCAGTGTCTATCGAATCACAGCAAATTCATGTCGACAGAGATATTTATTTCATCAGAGAAGAAGCCAAGGCCAGAGATGACATCAACGGGAGTCCTTACTCATGAATCTTAATCTGCGCATCACACCAATCCCACAGCTCCTTGCCCTTATCCTTCTCCATCGCGTCATATATGTCCTTTCTTGGATTCGGGGACTGTATTCTGCCCCATGGAATAATGTAACAGCCTTGTTCCTTCTCCGTGATATCGCCACTCAAACCTGCGAACAATTCCGTGTAAGCTCCCTTCTTTGGTGGGTGCAGAAGGGCATTGACGAAGAACATCATTAGCTTAGGCTGTGTATGATAGATATTCGTCTTCAGATTTCCCGGATTCTGACACGCTCAAGATGCCGTCGCCGCCCCATCGCGCGCCAGCTTCGACTGCTAATATCCAGTTGGCTGCCTTGGAGGTGGCATAGTTGGTGTGCGTGTCTTTGGTGCCACCCTTCTCGATGTCTTGCAGGTTGTATCCGCCTGGTGGGGCTGTACTCTCCATCATCATAGAACTCGTCCAGACAATGCGGACGCTGTTCTTGGGAGAGGAGGCAGCGGCTGCGCGGAGCTGAGGCAGAAGGAGTTGCGTAAAGAGGAGGGGTCCGATGACATTTACGCCCATATGAGCTTCGATTCCCTGCTTGGTCTTTGAGCCTGCAGGCACGGAGCCAATTCCGGCATTATTCCAAAGAAAGCAAGCGGCGTTTCCAATGCAACTACCGCAACTCACAGGACGGTACTGTAAGCAAACAAAAGCACCTCCCTCGTAAACGATAATGAAGTTGGGTTATACAGTCCCTCGGGCCATGCCATAGTGTACAAGCAGTCGCTCTGCCCTATTAGAGGGGTTTCGCTTCATTTTGGGGTCGGATGAATTATGTCACCCCCTGGTGATCCACCAAACATAGTACATAGTACCGGTGCAGTACATTTCAAGCTCCAACTCAGAAACTCTACCTGCATGCAGAGCTGCATCGCCAAACCACGATCGGGTGAATCATGTTACAATAAGCCGATTGGTTGGTTGGTTGGGTGGTGACTTACTGGGGGGCATGCAGAACCAACTGCCTCGGAGTCTCTGCGGCCCATCGACGGAAAGTCATGTCCAGTAAATGGTCTATTGAGCCGATTGATGACCAGTCGTCTCTGCAATTAACGAATATCTAGAGTCATGAGTTCTGATGTGAGTGTTAGCATCTTAAAATGTATATAAACGCTCTCCGATTATTAATCGCTGTGATACCGCCAGCAGCTTCGGTATCTATCTCTCAAGATAATGTGCCCAAGGGCTGCCGTTATGTACTCGGGGATAGAAGTTGGCCTTCACTTTCCGACTGGGCGCAGTTGAACACGATTGTTGACGGGCAACTCATTGCCACTGTTCCGCTCTGCTTTCATCTCGGTGGCACTTAACCCCTCGAGAGCATCACTGCAGAGCTCTCCTATCTCCAGAGGGGGCCGAATGAACTAAGGAGAGAAGGGAAGCTTCTCGTATAAACTAGATAAAGGGGGTTTCCTAGCTTCCTAGGGAAGCGAAATTGAGATCACGTCGTATATGCTAAGTCACGTACGCAGGCACCACGTGCCAAGCCTTAACATCGGGTGCAACCCGTCACATATCGTTTAAATATTAGAAAGGAAATATATATATTAATTAGAACTACTATTTATGTATGATTAGCACTAACATCAAGATTTAGATAGAGGACTTTGATAAGTTTGTAATGATATCTTGAATTATCAGCTGTCAAAAGAGACCCTATAACTATGGTATACTCCGTATAAGATAAATATGGAGAAGTGCAGTGCTAACATTCGGACGAATTCGGCTAGTTTCGGAACTCGATCCGATATCTTCGGATAAGCCGAGATTCCTTATAAATCTTGACTGAAGCAAGTAATAACTACAATCGACACCCTCACTTTCATTTCTGATTCGGATATTCCGAAGCTAACGCGCCGAATTATATCGTGGTGGTGTCTTCCAGTTGATCAAGTCACCCTCACGATCCTGACTGCACACTCGTCAGGGTTATCCGTTTAGGGGCTCTAGCATGAGTCCACCACAGGCACGCTTACAATCACGCACTCCGCAAGCCTGCGAGAGATGGTATGTCCGGCCCCGTATAACCGGCTCCATTTCTAACATCGTTGTTGATAGCCGTCGGAGCAAGACAAAATGCAATGGTGATAGACCGCAGTGCAAGAGCTGTAAGAAGCGCAAGGTAGCTTGTTCTTGGTCTACAATCGCTATACCGAATGCGTCCTATGCTCTCACTCCTCCCCGGGACCAAGAGTCTCCGAAAAGGAAAGAGGTGGATCCAATAATTCGAAGTCACCTGACTGTTCCTGATATCCCATCTCTTGTCAAGACCCCTCTTGTCCTCCCAGAACCTCATCTACTGCAGCGCTTGTTTCAAATTTTCTTTGATCGACACCATGAGGCAGAGCTTTGCTCCTTCTTCCACAAGCCTTCATTGGACATCCCCAATCTGCACGATCGATCTCCGCTTTTGGTTGCTTCTGTGATCAGTCTAGCTGCTTTGTATATCTCGGCCGATGAAGCTAAGGTTAACTTCGGCTTTGACACGCCTTGCGCATTGTCAGACCACTATAGTCGTCTTGCGAAATCTTATGCTTACGGACTTAGCGATGAGCCATGTAGTAAGTGGTGCTTGAATTTCCGGCCATATTATGGTTCTAATGCTCTCCAAGTTTACACGATCCAAGGCTATTTGATCCTTGCTATACGTGAGCTTATAGGATGGTCGAATGTAAAGGCGTACATGTATGCTGGAACGGCAATCAGAATGTCTCAGGTGTTGTCTCTCAATGTAGAAGTAGGCCAACGATACTCTCCTCGACAGAAAGAAGTTCGGAGAAGAACATTTTGGGCTTGCTGCGTCGTGGACAGATTGATTTCCTATTCATACAACAAACCCTTCACGTTATCAATACAGTCAGCACGTGTCCAGCTTCCCTGCCCGGAGAATGTCTTTGCCTTTGATGAGGTCTATGCTGGTCTTGATGTCAAAGATATTGCCTTGCCGGCAAACCAGGTGTCTCAAGTTGGGATTATGCCCTTCTTCGTTGCAATGGTGGGTCTATGGGGAGATATGGCCTTGCTACATGTGTCTGGAGGCAGACGGCGTTCTAAATATGGTCCCTATGCCCCAGAGGGCGAACTCTTTCAATATAAGCGCGCCATTGAAGACTTCTCTGCAAGCTTACCGCCATCCCTAAGTTGGTCTGTTCAAAACTATAAGATCCACCAATTCACTGGACAGGCACAAGCATATGTCAACCTGAATTTCTTACTGCATCATGCCAAATGTGTAATGGCTCAGGAATATCTCCCTCAGCTTGATTCGCAATATGCCCTTGACCCTGGACTAGACGATATGACTGTCTACGATGCAGCCGGCATATCACTTGATTACCGGGACATATCAATCATCAACTCCTGCATAACGAGTATTCGTACCATCACAGACATGGCACAAACGCTGAATACTGGCTCCGAGAGAGACCAGGAGCTTCTTCAATCGACCTTTGCTGCAAACGCGATTCTGACAGCGTCTGCTATTCATCTTTGGGTTTTATATACACAGACTTGTGATGCATGCCCGAAGCATGAAGCACTTGCCATGGCAGAGAATCTACGGCAAATTATGAAGTCATGGCAGGGTCAATGGCGTGTAGCTACCGCATGGGTGGAAACTCTGGAGATGCTGTACAAGTTGTACGTGTACTCGTATGGAAAAGTAGTTGAATCTGATCTGGACTGTTGGGATATGGGAGTCGACGATATCAATGATAATTTAGAAACTGCAGGAGATATTATTGATGAGAGTGGTGTGCACATGTCCACCGATGCGGATGGATTGTCGGATCCATCGACAGCATGTCAGCGGCTCTGTGACAAGATCCGAAATATATTGGTTAACCCGCTGCTTGCGACAGATATTAAGAAGCGGAATCTAAGGATATATTGCAGGACATTATGGCAACATATGTGGATCTTGGGCCCGTCGGAAGGCATTGGGCAAGACTTCTTGAGTTTGGAGAACTTCATGGGCGAGCCCGGATCAGGGTTGTTAAATATGCCACCTCTAGACCTAGACCTTGACTATTTATAAGGACTGAATAGTCCACAGAGATCTTTTGAAGATGGGTTATGCAGTGATCATGCGATAATTTGCGTAAATCCAGATACAGAATCAGAATACCCATTCAAGGGATGGTTTGCCGAGAACTGCAACTCCTGGTACTTGCTGCCTCTTGCAACTGTTATATCATATATCCCCAATCTTTTGCAACAGTACCAGAAGCAGAGCTTGAATCTTAAGTCCCTTCTAATAACTTTCATTTATAAGCATTTATCACTGCACTTCGGCTTTTCCGATGGCTTTCGGGTCCTACTCGAGACGAATCGCATAAGTGTGGGGCGAGGTAAAATAGGAGTAGCGCCAGGAGAGAGTATAAAGTATCCGCAGTGTATCTTTTCATCTCACTTCATATAAATCAAATCAACAATCAACATTTATTCACATATCCTCTGTTAAAATGGCTTCCCTACCTCCCGGAGAGTGCTGCATCAGAGGGATCAAGCACGAAGGAACCCCCAAAGGAAGCATTGAGAAGATTGCAAAAAGTGAGTCTTTATATTATCACTATATCCTAATGACTGATGAATGAAGTATACTAACATTAATATCCCTAGTACCTACGTATTTCGCGCGGCCCGCCAAACCAAACGGCAGCGCTATTTTCATATTCGGCGACGTCTTCGGGCCCATCTACCAGAATGTGCAACTTATCGCCGACGATTTTGCCGCTCAAGGCTACCTGACCGTCGTTCCTGATCTATTGCATGGCGATCCCGTGAATGTGGATTTGTTTTTGGGCGGCAAGTTTGATCTTGGCGAATGGCTTGGTCGTCATGATCCGACTACTGTTGATCCGATTGCCGATGCGGTTATCGATCATCTGAAGAATTCTTTGAAGGTTAAGAGTATTGCTGGTGTGGGATACTGTTTTGGTGCTAAGGTTAGTAACTTGTCTTGAAGATATCCATGTAATAGGGAGAGATGGCTGATGAGTTTCTTTTTATCTTCTAGTATGTAGTCCGCCACCTGAAAGAGAATCAGCTGGATGTTGCATATATCGCGCATCCATCATTCGTGACTTCCGAAGAACTATCTGCTATCACCAAGCCTCTGTCAATCGCCGCATCTGGTAAGCCCTCTTGCTTGAACTCATCGATCGCATTATATTGATTACAAACTAATGCTCTTATAGAAATCGACGCCATTTTCACAAAAGAGAAGCGTTTCGAGTCGGAGAAGATCCTGGCTGATCTCAAACTTCCTTACCAGATCAATCTTTATGGCGGAGTTGAGCATGGCTTTGCACTCCGGGGAGATTTGTCGATCAAGGAGGTGAAATTTGCTACTGATCGAGCTTTTGAGCAAGCTGTGACGTGGTTCAATTATTGGGTCTGAGGAGACTTCGTCAAAAGGGATCTACATGCTAGAAGTGTAGGATTGAAAATATCATGGGCATAGCATATAAAAAGATTCTCAGATCATATGCATCAGATTCACCAATTGAGTCTGTCCCACCATCACAGTGAACAACCTCTGCAATTGTCCACATTGACCCCACTACATATTTTCTCTCGTTCCTGTCTTGAAAGTCTCCTATGCTATCTGAAGGGGAAATATTAAAAGAACGTCCCTCCCGATATCGGTTTCGTCAACTAAAGTGATACACTACACTCTTATAAATATCTGTTGAAGTCCCGGAGGGTCACACAGGGTGTAAGGAAAAAAGAAGCGCGAAGACACTTAAAAAGGGAAAACTAAAAATGTAAAGAAGACATTAAAGGAAGTAGAGAAGGAGCTAATTAGAAAGAAGCAACAGAAAAGAAAGAAATGAAGCACTTGTTTTAAATATTGATAGAAATATTTCAGACTTAATAGTATTCCGGGCTGTGCATCCCCGCTTCCAGCCCCAGCCTAGTATCTCCAGGCTTGGTGCGCCGTGGTACCGTATAGCCAACCATGCTAGGAAAGACATGTATTGTTTCGCTTGTTATGTCATTTCCTATTGTTGTACTGCACCGTAGGCATTCACGACGTATTAATAGCAAGCAGCAACACGGCTGCTGTATGTTTCATGGTAAGTTTACGCATGGACTACTCGTGCGGCGAGTACGGAACGCGTGAGGGGTTCTGGAAATTGGCATGGAATGTTGCATGCATAATAGTCGGTCTTCCTTCTTATCCCTTCTGTCACACCGATATTAAATACCAGGTGCTTCGCCTAATAGTTAGTACTTGTGCACGCCATGTATCGACGGGGCAGTTGGAGAGAATATATTATTGACTCGTAAAGCCCAACTGTTTTTCAGACAATCACAACTCTTCCTTGTAATCAGCAATGACTTTCCTCAGACCATTGGCCGAATCAGCCAGAAAAGTCTGCTCTTTCTCATCTAAATGAAGAGGGAAGGTCGAAATAATTCCATCTCTACCCAGGACAGCCGGTAGACTCAAACAACAGTCAAGGTTTTCTTGCCAATGGCTAAGCGGCATAACTGATCGATGATCAAAGATGATTGCTTCGCAAATGCGAGACGTGACAGCTGCAACTCCATACGAAGTAAATCCCTTCACTTTGATGATGTTCTCGGCCTTTTGGCGAGTTGTGGTCGCAATCTCTTCACGTTCGGCTTCTGTTAAAGGGATGATCTTGAGCAGAGGTGTTCCGTGAACCGTAGCAGCAGACCAAGCGACCTGTTCTCCTTTAGTATCCCGAGAGGCTATGAGTTGTGACTCTACTTACGCATTGAGAATCACCATGTTCTCCGATCACGAAAGAATGAATCGAGTAATCAGCAACCTGGGTGGAAATCAGCTTCAGTTCTAATGTAAGATTCATGGTACCGGACAAACATACCTTCAATTTGCCAGCAAGGATGTTGGTAAGCCTGGTCGAATCCAATAAAGTACCTGATCCAAATACTTGACTCTTCGGCAATCCGGAAAGTCTTTGTGCAAACAGAGTAAGAACATCGACAGGGTTCGCAACAATGAGTAAGATGGCATCGCTGCGAATGGGTTGAAGAGAATGGAGGATGGACTTCAAGACCTTGAAATTCCTGTCGATCAAATCAAGTCGTGTATCACCAGGTCGTTGTTTGGCTCCAGCGGTGATGATAATAATGTCAGCCTTCTGAGCCTCTGCAACGCCTCCTTGTCTAATTCGGACATTGGATAAGAAGGTCGCGTCGGAAAGATCTTGGACTTGAGCTTGACATAAATTTTGATCAATGTCAACCAGGATGATATCTGCAACGACTTGTCGAAGGAGAAGGCTGTAGGCGATTGCTGAACCAACAGATCCAGCACCAATGATTGCTATTGAGGATCTCGCAGCCATGGTTGGAGGTTGCCTTCTTGATTACGAATACCAATGTAGCAGGTTTGCAGAGTTGTTGAAGTGGAGAGACTTGTGAGGCGGCCGAGGCTGCCGAGGCTGCTTATTTGCAGGTCTAGAGATTGGTTTGCTTGGATGTTACACGATCACGATAGACCCAAACAGGTCTAGCTCGTATTTCCAACATCGTATTGCAGCTTCTCTCGGCTACAATACAACCTTGCATTTTAAACCTCATTGATGCTTCTTTCATTTCCTGTGTCTAGAGTATGTTAATGGTAATATGCCCCGAGAGTCAGGCGAGCATATATAATATATGGCATATAAAAGATAGCGTTCCTAATTCCATCATATGCCACCTTGGCATTTACTTGGCAATAGCTTTCAAGCACGTGCTTGCGAGGGTAAATGAAGGAAAGGATTCCCTTTTCTTATTATTGACAGAGAGATTGCTGTTTTTCACTTGGTTGTTGAAGGCCTTTGATCTTTTTTCATCTCTTCTTGGTTTTTGTCAAAGGTCTCTGAATGAAAAGTCTTGGTCTACCTCCATTCCAAGGGTCGGACACATTATTTAGCTGCCTAAGATATTCGAATCCTGCGCATACGATCTCTTGTTTCAAAAATGGCTTTCGTTTACGTTGACGGCGATCACGAAAACGAAACCATTGGAGATCAACATCTCTTCTTGCATCCCAAAAAGACAATCCCCTCAAATCTTCATACTGCCTGGACAGGGTCTTGGGTCTGACGGGGTCTAGATGTCCCATATTCTGTGCCTGGGGAAGGCTGTAGAAGATATGGACATTTCTGATTCGCGCTATCATAATATTTTTTCGTGATTTGCTTCGATGAGTTCGACCTGTGAAACTCAGTCTCATATCTTACCATAGCTCCTCCTAGCCGTGTTTAGAGTTCAGTTTCCTTCGGATGACTATTGCAATCATTTGCACATAAGACCAGGGCAATCACGAGTTCGATGGGGGTTTGGAGTTGTAATAATGCACTGCGAGCCCCGCTTTTTCGCCGATCCATTTTGAATCAGATCACTTAGTTCGACTTGCAGTGGTACTCTGAGTGGCGAACACTTTCAATTTATTACACACTGATTGTGACCCCTAGAAAAAGTCCTCCCTCAAACTTATGCACCAACATTCTCCGTTTCTGTCTCTTTCTTGCCTCCTTTTGACCTGTAATCTGCCCTCTCTCTCCACATTCTCAATAGCATAGCAGCATACTCTATCACGAGATTCTCAACATGGCCTACTGCCGTTTCGATATACCATCTTTCCCTCTCATCTTCTGATGTGTAGGTGTTATCTGGATGTAATCCGCACAATAATGCAAATTCTGGCCTCAACCCAATTCTATATGCTTTATTAACGTATCCTTCTTTTCGATTCATTTTGACATTAGCAAAAGAGTCAAGTGTTAGATGTCAAATAAGAAGGGTGCATACCAAAGTCTATCTGGTCGTTCGAATCCCATTTGAGTACCATGTCCCTGATGAACAGTTTGCAAAGATTCAAAACTAATGTGGATTCTGGTGTTTTTGCTTGACGCAGGCGACCATCGGGATCGTTGCCGGCGGTACGTTCCTCATAATCTTTCAGCACTTCCTCGGAAACGGTTTCGTTGAGTCCAAGCCACGCTAGAATCCCTTTCTTATCATCGGGTTCGGGTAGTACCATATCTGGATCATAGACGACCATCCAATCGTCGATTTGTGTATCAGACTTCATGGAAGGATGCAGTACACTGCCGGCGTCGCGTTCGAGTATTTCTGGGAGATTTGGCGTCATTTCGAAGTCAAGCGTGGTTGAAAACATGATGAAGTTGTGCTTGAGCCTGGGGAAAATCTTAAGCTTGTTAGGAAGTGGGAGCGTTTGGAGAAGAAAAGGAAGTTTGGATGACTGATTATACAAGGGGAAAGGCGGCACATTTACCCTTGACCACGGAGTCTCATTGAGCAAGGTTCGAAATAGAAAAATAGCCGCCCGTTTCGGCGGTTACACGATGGGGCCCGCCTTAGCGGAACGGACCTTGGTGCGACCTCATCTCTGGATACCTAGTCACATCCAAAATATATCTGTGCCAGCTTAACTCAATGATACACAGTTTCACAGTGTTGCCTAAGCCCATTCAATCATGTCTGAGCTGCAATGTTCACCTCAGAGTCGTCATTCGCTTCAGATATGGAAAGAGCATCGAAAGTAGCAAGATACCTATAAAGTCAGGATTTAATTTTTGGGGTCTTGAGTAACTCGGTCTCTACGTATGAAATAAGCAGATTTTGACACACTGCACAATCACGAGAATAATGCCAAAAGCTCCTCAAAAAAATGAAAAAGTCGCACCATTAAATTTATTGCTATAATTAATAAGTATTTTGAAAAGATTTGGGGAAATCTTATAGAAATGGTAGAATAATTTGGTGGTTGGAACTTTTCACGTTTGCAGCAATATTGGAAGCTCAATTTTTGAACATGCTTGAGGAAAAGATCGTCTTTGAGACTACCAGACTACTAGATGCAGAGAATAACACCAACTCGTCGCATACAACTACCAGTAACTCAACACTTTCGAACCTTTGGTCCAGCAAGAGAATACTCGATGAAAATTTGCGGCGATTAAAAGAAACCGGGACCTCGATTGACAACTCTGGAGGACCAAGATGGCCAAGGGCAACCGGAGACGAACCAGACGTGTATGCGAAAGTCAAAGCTACACGAGACATGTTGCTTAAAGATTATGATTATCTCCTTGAACAAACTAAAGCGCTATCCGGATCTTGTGCTCGAGGCATGGATATTGCTGGAAACAATGCTCTTGTCGCAGAGTCCAGGTCCGCAATTCAACAGGCGGAATGGGTTGCAAAATTGACGTTATTGGCTTTCTTCTTCATCCCAGCATCGTTTACCACTTCTGGGTTCGGTATGAATTTTGTTCAATTTGGCCAAGGGACTCTGAGTGTTTGGATATGGGTTGTTGTATTAGTGCCTACCTACATGATCTCACTGTTTGTGCTATATTTTGATTTTGGTCGTTTGCGAGGCACTGGAAAGGTTCTTCCTAAAAGTGAATTCAGTTCGAAAGATCGAGAAGACACTGTGCAGAGAAGATTTTCTTGTCTACGTTCGAAGGGGACACATGTGGAGAATGAAATATTTTTCTATGCTTGTAGCTTTCCTAATTTTAAGCTTTTCCATCTACCTAAGTGCATAGGATAAGGCGTCCATGTTCACAATCGACGAAAGAGAGGAGATTAAACGGTCCGTAAAACCCGAGAAGTCTTGCTATAGCATTACACTAGAGGAAACATAGCCTTGCCAGAATTGACCACCGAAGATCTTCCCATGTTCTTCATGAACACTTCCGTAAATTCTACGAGAGCTATGTCGGTTTCTGTTCTCATGTTAATTGCCGTATTCTTGGTCTGTGAAGCATTCGTACCTGGCTGACTCATAATTGATGCCGTGACAGGAAGATATTCTGTCTGATTACTGATCCGGGATTCATATGGGACTTGCCCAACTACTCACGTCAGAACCCTTGCATCAGCGTCTCGAAAGATACGAACCTGGAATAACGATTTCTGGAGCACCAAGAATCGGGGAGATCCACCATTGATGCCAGGCAGGCTGGATGTAATACGGAGTGTACAAAATGCTTGTTAGTGATGCACATGATCATAGAGTGCGATATTTTACGGTGGTGGGTCGTCGCGATAATTTGGTTTAACATCTTCGCTTTGCATAACAACTAAAGTGTTTGCTGTACCGACCCGCATAACAGTCTGAAGGAACCACTCCTCATAAACTCTCATGCGTCGCATGCCTTCATCGTGTTGCTCAGCAGTGTATTGCTTCCCAATTTTCCTGGGAAAAGAAGTCAATTATGATCAAAGACTGGAGTTCAACTCACCATCTCCACGTTACGAATGCGCTAGAAAAAGGCGTTCTGCCAAACTTTTTCAAGTAATCATCTCTAAATACTGCTGTGCTGTGGTAGTTCTCGTACAAGAATGTATTCGCACCAACCTATATCACACTTAGAGCGCCAATCGTCTTTCTAGTAGGATTGCCATACCTCTTTCAAGTACTCGTGCAGATGTTCACCGGCAGCTGCTTGGGGAGGCTGGTCATCCCAGAGGCCACTGATACTGATCCTTCGTGCTTCAACTTTAAGATGCTTCTCAAGATCTTCGACCAAGTTTAGGACCAGTTTCTTCTGAAGGGTGTCCGTCGATGAGAATAGGTCAATGGGAACAACAATGGCCATTGGTAGATCCTGGTAGACGGTTACTGTCGGGAAACAATTATTGAAGACTTATCTTCACTGACATTTTGCTTCATTCGAGGTTTCTTCTCGCCATACCACTTGTCTGCGAAGTCCGAAAGTTTTGCGAGGTCTCTTGAAAATAATCCTGGAACGTCGAAGTGCCTTAATTCATCAGTGGTCAAACAGCCAACTTGAAACAGGGTCACTTTACTTGAAAATGGTGAAAAGACCTTCCGAAGAAAAGACTCCTCTGCTTGGTCGGAGGCCGAACAACCCATTGCACTGAGCTGGTCGTCGAACACTGCCATTAGCTATTCAATCGAATCAGTAAATTCGAAGCTCTACGAGGGATAAATGTTTGGCCACAGACTGTCGGTACCAATCCCTATGTCTACCCAGTCATACGCCGCGACAGCCGCAGCACTGCCACTACTGCTGCCCCCAGGTCCCTGATAGCCATCCCCACGAGGATTCCAAGAGGTTTGGAAGTCGACAGACTCAGAAGGCTCTTCTCTAGAGAGAAAAGAGCTCAACTTGGTCTTCCCTAGGATTGAAGCTCCATTTCCAATGATGGTGTGGAGTGAAGGTGCAGTAGACACAGCTGGCGGGTACAATTCAAGATATGCACGATTGCACATCGACATTTTCACCCCTTCAAGGTCAAATACATCCTTTAAAGCCACACGATAACCTCTTAAAGGATGGTTTTCTGTGTTGAAACAAGTCAATCGTGAAGGTACAGCTAATGAACAACAATCCCAGCCATGTTTCCAATCATTCAAAAGACTGAATCGGCTGGCAAAACCAGCGTCAGCACCAATACCATGAAGTCATAGCTTTCGAATAACATACCTTCCATCTGTAGATTTCCTCACGGGTACTAAAAAAGCGCCTTGCGTATCATCGTAAAGACGAAGCACTTGCCAGAGCTCCCCTCCAACGACCATGTACGGGCCGGGCAGTAGGTCGGATTGAAGACCAAGACCTCGAATCTTTGCGACTCCCCACTTGTTTTGCACTGACCGGAGTAGTCGTCCAGAAGATTGCGCATTCGAAAGCTGCTCAGAGCCTGGTCCAGTGAGCAAGATTGTTTCGAGGAAGTCCTCGTGCAAAACATCATCTAGATTCAGAGCCTTGGTAATAGATTTCTCTAGCCAGTCATCATCAAATGGATGACCTTGCGGAAAAGAGATGACAGTTGCGAAACTATGCTCCGTCAAGTCCTTCAGCTCGAATACCTAGTGATGTTAGAGGAATCATTGACTGGGCTGTTAATTGGCTTTTACTGAAGCAATAGGCCATGCAACATATCTGTTTTCACTGAGCTCAAGAAAGAGACTTGGGTCTACGTAATCTGCGCCTGCAGCAGGACCACCAGGTTTTTGGCTCTCATGGCTCCTGATGCTCACCATGGTGAGATGAGAATTTGAGGCGGGTTTTGATATAACGATATCGCTCTGAAGCAACCTTTTTATGGCAGACGTTTCGGTGAAGTAGCGCTTAGAGTGCGCAAATGATTACTATTGCGTAGCTGCGTTGTTTGCTTACACGTGGGCGACAGCCTTTGGGGAAGCCCGAATCTGTTAAGGATCGCAGATGTACGCTTTGGGCATTGCACCTGCCTGGAAACAATGGTGGATAAAGGCGCACCCTGTCGATAATTGTTGCGTGTCCCTCTCCCTCGCTCACTGCTGCAATTATATACTAGTTATAGGTAGCCGTTTACAATTATTAAGTTTCCCTATCCCTTTAAAATCCTCTTTAAAAACCCTCCTGATTTCAAGAACCGTTTGCAAGTAAGCAATAGACAAATCTAATTTATCAAAATTTGCTAACCCTTATGCTGCAAAGTTCCTTAGCAGCACAATCCGCAGGTAGGAGCACGACAATAAGGGTATCATTTTCAAGCACTATCAACTACTACAACTGATCCGCCTCTTCCAGTCGTTTCTGCCAGTTCCGACGACAATGATTGGAGCTCTTCAAGCGCCTTCGATTCCTCATAAGGTTCAGCATGTTCGAAATCAACGAGGCGAACATGAACAGGTTCCTTCGACCGATCGAGGATAAAATTGTAGCGGTTTACATCTCCATGAACCATATTCATGTGATGAAAGTTCTCGAGGGTTTCTCTACACGCCGGTAGATCATCTATGGTTGCAAAGTCGCCCTCCAACTTCTCGAGCAGCATACCAATCACCCGTCCATTTTCCGTCACGTGAGCCAAGAAAGCAGGAGTGATGACCGGATCCCCGGGCTCTCGGTATTCTTCGATCACTGAATATGTGTAAGTCTCGTGCTCGATTCTAGGGATTTGCCACCCGAAACATGCAATTTTGCAAATGGCTGGAAGGCCGGAAAACAATACTTCGTGGACTCCGGATCGGTGCCGCTTGACTTTCTCTAAAGACAGCACGTCGATGGTCGTTGGATGCCATATCGACTTTACGGCTGGCAAGGCCTCAAATGAGAGATTGAATGTCAAAGAACCGTCTGATTTGCGGCTCACTTCCATTATTGTCCATTTTTTGTCTGGAAAATCAGGTAGTTGGGGTATGAGCAGGTACGGACGACACATCGTGTCTTCATCAAAAACGTCAGTTGCTATTGTCACATAGTGAACTCTTTGTCCGGCCCGTATGCGATAAGATCCAAAGTCTTCGTTGATTTCTTGTGATAGTACCTCGATTTCCGACTTAGAGACGGTACGAGATTCCATCGTTGGAATTTTTCTTGCTTGCTTAGTCTGAGAATATAGCGAAAGGATGGTAAGAGGATGTGCTCGTAGAATTATCGAAGGCGATCTACTCAATAGATGGCGCGGGTATAAAGTTACTGTAAATCGTAGTGTATGAACGGCGTTGTCTGATCGAATGGGTAAAGCAACTGTTGGCGTCGCAGTATTGTAATAGTTTAGGTCCTGGACCAGCGGTAAGATAAGATAATTGTTGGTGTTGCAGGATTGATTGCGATAGTTGGATACCAGGTCCTCGATGACCAGCGCTGAAACAATTGTTGGTTGTTGGTTGTGATTATTATTGACGTTGCAGGAGTGTAGTGGCATCGGTTAAGATTAGGTCGAGCCATGTCACTCCCATTCAATAGGTGCTAACCACTGCACCAAATTATACATTTTCATTATCGCGCGTATTATAAGATGGCATACCGCACGTGAACTCAAGTCAGTCTCGTTCTCGTCCATTGCAACGCGCTAGCTATAGAAGCAGAGTTCCATGTGATCCGCTGACTAAGCAATCCAAAAGTCCAACAGGATGAAAGACGAATTCAAGCAGTGTAATGCAAAGTATAACGCCTAGACGAACCTGCAAGGCTAGGAATTGTTCTTTAAAAGATATTTCATAAAGGAATATGGGGTTTGCCTAAACAGAACCGAGTCTCATGATATAGGACATACTATAAGCAAAGAAAAATCACCTGACTCCCTTATCAACTTTCGACGGACACAGTGGATCCACAGAAACACGAATCTCTAGCTCAAAAACTTAAGCCCGTCGAACCCCATACTCTTCATCTCCTCCTGTACATACTCTACCACGCGCCTAAAAGTTCCCTCACCTCCATCACAAGCACCACTCTCAAGATGCTGTGCCAGCCCACTTACAGTCGAGAATTGCCTAACAGACTCCTTCTCTTTCCTCGCGCCCATCAAGGCACGCGGGCAATGGAATGATATCTCATCGGGTATCGGTAAGGGCAAAGACATAGTGAGCTGAGCGTGAACGCTTGACGACAGATGTTGCTGAAGTGCGCTATGCGTGAATGTGCGGATATAGGATGGAGGGCAGAGGGGGCATGTTTGATAGCCACTCTGAGGGCGAGACCGGAGAGTAAGCATGGAGTGGAAGTTCGTGGCGCTGGTTGAGGGAGTGGATGTGGGTGTGAGGATCGCAGAGGGTGGATAGGAGTCGAGGAACTCGGTCGAGGTTGGGGTGAGTATCGGACTCCGAATCTGCGATGTCGAAGTCGTAGACGGGTAATCCTCGAGCAGCCACTGTGCCGTGACTACTCCCGACGTTATGATCCGTTCCGTATCATTCGCTGCAATAGCTGCATTTAATTCCGTCTTTGTCATCCCTGAGATACATCTCCCACTCTCTAAATGATGCAACTGCGCCGACGGGCAATTAAACTGCTTCTTACATTCCTCATCGGCTACACACTTGATGTCGCTTAGCGGTTTATGTCGCACTGACTTTAGGTGTTTCCCTAGCGCATCCTGATTCTTGAAACTCCTTTTGCATTTCTTGCACTTCGTTTGTTGTTTTTTCTTCTTCTTGCTGTTGTTGCCCCTCTTCCCCAATCTGTGCAGCTCGCTATCACGAAGATGATCTACAAGTGCCCCTTCATTTTTGAAATCGCGCTCGCAGTCGCAGCACCGGAATTGTGTCGCGGAAGAAGGCATGATCGATGGAGTGGGAGAGTGCGATTGCATGTGTAGTGCGTGTATCTGTCTCGTAGAGGAGAGGACGTTGCAGTTATAGCAGTAGGCATGCAGGCTCTCGCGCTGGTGAGCTTCGAGGGACACTTTCTCTGCGAAGCGCAGCCTGCATTGAGGACAAGAGTATTTTTTGATGGGCGGTAGGCTGGCTTCGAACAGCGCTTCGTGGCCGTCAAAGGGATCGCAATGGGAGCAGGGGCAGTGCTTGGTGGATTTTTGGTGTTGGATAATAGAGGGCATAGTGGTGGTGATGGGATGCAATATTAACGTAGTAGTCACAGTGAGAGAGACAAAGGGCCACATTCAATGAAAGAGGAAGTAGATTACAGAGGATGAAGGAGGGAAGGATACTAAGTGAGGGAAGTGAGGGAAGTAAGGGATAGGTATGGTAGGATTGCGGGGTAAACGAGTGATGTGTCTATGGATTG